ATGCTTACTTTTATAAAAACAGAATCCTGTGTTTGATGCCCCTTTTTCTTCTGATCTTGTGGGTCACTGTGGTGCTAGATCATCCCGATCTGATGGTGATCGCATTAAAACTACAATGCAAATAACCAATAAAATCTCAGTAGAAAATCAGATTTGAATATTAAATTCACAATGTGATGTTAGCTACATGTACTGTGGATGCTACATTTGTCTTGATTTCTTTACCAGTAGATAGAAAAGAAATCTCTGCTAGCAGAAATAATCCTAATATGTATAAGGTAGACCAGCTGAAGGACCTAATAAATAAACAAGAAGTAGAGACAACTAGTACGTTTTTCATTTCACATTTACTTTAGCGGAAAGAATAAAAAGAGCCATTCTCAAGATCTGTTTTCTTTTTACTTAGATGACTTCATTGTCTTACTGAAAAGGCATGGGCCTAATTCCAGCATTTCTGACTGGAATCACAGATTTTGTGAAAGACGGGGAGAAAATGTAAAGTTTAAAAGAAAATAGCAAAGGAAGGTTCTAAATGATCAATTACATTATCATAGAGATCAACAGAGTCATTTTTAACTCTTTAAAAGTATAATTAACATAAATATTTCATTATAATGTGATAATCATGCACCGGTTGTTGAAAGATGATTGTTGGTTTGGTTCTTCAGCATTATTACCATGGTAATCACTATCATCAGCACCAGTCTCAGAGTAATAATCACATCAAGGCTTCACAATCTTGACTTCTACAAACCAGCATGGCTATCACCATCAGCTTTGACTAAAAGCTTAAAATCATGGGCCTAATTAAGTTGCCCTACAATTTATCATCATTCCTTCATCACTGTCTATAAAATCATCATCTGTAGCAGATAACTATAGTAACCACACTTGTGACACAACAACTCTCTTCAATGGTGATCACCATTGAAGAGAGTTGGCTTTTTTTATCGTTTCAATCACTGCTGCCATTGACATCAACATCAGCGTCTGTGTCTTGTTTGCTGCCATCTTCACTGTCAACATTGTTATGACTAAATTCATTTGTATAATGGCTTTAATTATGCTTATCATCACCTCCATAACAGCTATTATCATCCTCATTACTGTCACTCATCACTTTCATCATCAAGGCTTCATGATTTCATTACTGAGGCTCATTGTAACCAAGTTACACTTACCAGGTTATACCATTGGAATTCCAGCTACACATTTTGATTAATATTATGACATTAGCACTATGCGCGACATGAAAATCACCATGGTGACTCACACAAATACTGTCAGTATTTTAATTGTAGAATACAAACACTTAACTGTTTTCTAATACAAGCTTTTGGAATGATTCGGTGAGCTCTGTGAAAAGATGCTGGATTGTAGAGAAGAAAAAACTACAGATTGATGTTAGCTATATATATAGAAAAGGTTAAAAGAGACAATATACTTACCATGGACAGCCTTTTATCCTCTGTTTACCCCTAGTTTCCCTTTGAAATAAAATCTTTATTTATTTAGAATATGGAAAAAATAAAAAAAATAGAGCAAGAAAGAAATTGAGAAAAAAGAATAAAAATATGAGAATATGTAACAAAAGGAGGAAGGTGAACCCAATGCTTAGTAAATCCTTGGCCCAGTTGACTCGTCCAGTATAAACAATGTGCATTTTACAATGTAGAATCCAAATATGTCCATATGACATACATTTTCTTGATGTCACAAAAAGTGACTGTACAAAGCATTTTTTATGTTGCTAGGAGAAAGGACATTTCTGATGCTCTGCTGCTTTGATTGAATAATAGACTTAAACACCTTTGGTATCAATCAGTTCTACAGCTGTTGAGTCACCTTAATGGCAGACGTATAAGGAAGCCAAATATGCTCCTTTCCACAATTTTTCTTTTTATTTTTACTGTAGTAAGAGTTTTTCTTGAACGGTTAATTTTTAATTCCCCCTGAACTCACTGATCTCTCTTTAGCCCAAAGTTCCTCAGTGATAACACATCAGCAGCATAAACAAAATATGTTGCTTCATGTTGAGAGTCAGAAAGCAAGATGAGTTGCTCATTTCTGGGCAACAGAAGATGAAAGTGACTCCATGTTTTAAACGTCACTTTTTTCAGGATGTTGTTAGATCTCCACAAATGATGTCATCCTTTCTGCTTGCAACTTCGTTTATATCAGAACCTTGTCAGGGGCTCTAACTTCCCATGCCAAACACTTTTGCTTTTAATCTTCTTGATGATTTGTTTCTGTTAGAAACTGACAGTTCCAAAACTTATGATGACTCACTCACTAGCAGTATATTGGTTTCCTTTCAGTCTGTACTCATTTAAAAAACTTTGAACCTTCAGAAGCTTGTATCAGCAGTACATAGTCACACACCTGCTGACAATTCATACCAACGGTTTCACTACGTCACTTTGCCTACTTTGTGGAACAAGCCATTGTAAAAAAATGCTAAATGTTTTATTTTCTTTAAGTAGTGAAAAACAAAAACTATCAACAAATCAAAGTCATATTCAATAAATTACACTAGTACTGAAAAGTTTATTTATTTCAGTAACACATTACATAAACTCAGTGAGGATAGGAAGATGTTTTCAATTTTTTTATTTTTGTTAATTATGATGATTTTCTGAAAACACCACATTTAAGATAAGAATATTACATCACAGTCTTAAAAAAAAATATTACAGAAATATGCGATCGAAAATTATGGTTAATTACTGATTGAGGGTGTTTAAGATATACTTATAATCTTCCAAACAAGACCCATCAATAACATCTTCTAATTTAATGAATATGAATGTATTTAGGGAGGAGCAACTAGTCTTTTAAACAAGTACAGTTAAAAATAAACAATAACTTCTAACTGCAGGTCTGGGCACCACATACTAAAAGGTTAGTTAGCACTAAGCACTACTACTAAACACTAGTTCTGCTAATACTAAAGCACTACACCAACAAGGTATTAGCGGATTAACTAAATTATATCTGCCCTTGACAGACTACGATGCTCAAAAATAATTTTGTTTTGACACCATAATTAGCATGTTCTGTAATGTCCTTAGATGTTGTATTTATGGTTATATCTTGTTTTTTAGGGTCTGTGTTTTATTTTGTTTCGGCATGTTTCTTGTTTGTAAAAGGAACTGCTAAGTCATCACCCACTTTAAAATAAGAGCTTGACTATAAACATGCAGCTACTTGAAGAATTCTTAATAGCTGATAACCAGAACTTCAACATAGATAATGAATTTCATTCAACTGAAAGTTTACGAAAAAGCCAAATATAGTAACTCTTTCGAATACTTGGAGCAATCAATTCAGAAGCCATGTGTTCTAAATATGTTCAAATTTAGCAAAAACACTAAAATGGAAAATGAAAATCGCTGCATGTTAACACACATCAAGTCAATGTAATATCTAAGTTCAAAAGCCACAATTAAAAAGCCAAAGTCATGAAATGAGATTTAAACAATTTCAGTGGAAACAGGGTAGCATATTCTAATTTAGCTCACTATTAGAAACTAAATCACTCACTGACACTCAAACAGAACCCTGGGAGGAATGGTCCAATTCGGCCACAATGTTATATATAAGGAAACAAACAATATAATATAAGCAACCCAAAACTGAGATCCAGCTGTACAGGCAGTCATACACATCCTGTAAGTTTCTTGTAAAAGACATGTCCAACCTGCTTGAACTGCACAGGCTGAACATGCTACTGGTTCACCTGTGAAAGAATACTGGTGTCAGGATTCAACTGTTTGAAGTTGAAATTCAGTCATGACAAATAGATCATGTGTTTTTCAAGGCAAACAAATACTTGTATGGCAGAGATTTGTATGTTTTCCATATGCCTACGGTTCTGTGATTAGTCCTAAACTTCCCTACTGGCTTTATCTGTTTTTATATCTTTGTTTATTACACATATAGTTTTTTAAATTTGTATTTGGATGTCAATATTTTTAGACCATAGAACAGACTATTAATACCCTAACTAGCACATTTTCTTTTTTTACCATGACTGTACATAACTATTGTTGTGCTGCGGTTAACAAATTCTGTCCATCTAGAACCATTTCTTTAGATTAATTTTTATTATTATTTTTTTTTATTGAGAGAGAATTTAGTTTTAATTCTGTGATAAGTAAGGTGAGGGACTACTTAAATGGACTACACTTGTTCTGTTTTTAGTGTCGTGTGAACAAACACTCAGATGGAGCTACAATTTATTTCTTTTAGTTTCATACCATCTTTATTTTATGACATAAATGATTAACAGAGCATTATAGAAATTATTTAACTCTCAATAAACTTCCAGACATATTCGCAAAACCTTTTATTTATTTAAACAGAAAGGTGTCTTTTTAACTTCAAATTAGTGCTGTTTGCATCTGGTGCTATCAAGTGGTTCTGTGTTTCAGAAGTGTTACTAAAAGGTAAATATTTCTCTACAGCTGGACAGATAAATGAAGCAATTACCAGATGGCAAATTTACATCTCAATGACCTGAAAGACTTGTGTTTTTCTTTTTTTTTTTTTTTGGAAAAGGCTAAATCTATCATAGTATTTACTAGCAGAGTTTTCTGCAGATTAATTGCTCAGTTTCTGCATCAGCTTGATATGACAAGTCAGATTGCCATTTCTGCCTGTTGACAGCTGATTTCCTGGAGTATAATCAAGACTCATCGCTTTAAGTATTCTGTTTCACTAACACAGAGAGTATGTGAAATTTAAAACGATCCACAAAATAAACCCCCATTAACCAATCAACACAGTCCAATCCTTTGAATGGAAAAAAGAAATCAATTTGATGCCTGAAGCTAACAAGGTCTCCATATTAAAAAGCCAGTGTGCCAGGACAATTCTAGAAAAAGACCTAAGAGGTAGCCAAAGTCTAGTAGAGAATTAAAATTTCATCACTGTCTGTCACCTCCAATCTTTCATCTAATCAGTCCTTCTGCCTGTTCCACCTCCTCTTCTTCCTCCAGATATTAGGGAGAGTGGAAGCCCCAAGCCGGTGATGGTTTTTATCCACGGGGGTTCTTACATGGAAGGAACTGGAAATATGTTTGACGGCAGCATCCTAGCCAGCTATGGGAACGTCATTGTTATTACAGTCAACTACCGTCTGGGCGTCTTAGGTAAGGATCCTTCTGTTTCATATTTTTCAAGCAACTGGACTTTGTTTCTTTCTTTTCTTCTTTGTGTCTTCTGTTTTTCTTTCTCTCTTTCGTTCTTTCTTTATATCTTTCTTTTGTGGTTGAAGAAGCATAGCATTGCTTTCTGGCTTGACTCTGCTGTAATCTGATCTGTGGCTGGTGTCGGCTCTCTTTTCCTTTCCCATTGTGAAGAAGACTCTGAAAGGTTGCTATAAGACAGTTGCTATGTTGAGCTATTTCATCTGACAGAGCAAAACCGCAGAAGATTGTCAATCATTTCTGTGGTTGGATGAGTCCATACCATTCTAAAGTTTGTGGGCATGAGGCTAACAGGCCATGTTTTCCATTGATTCAGCTTGAAGAGATTTTTGGGTTTCTGATCCCCAGCAGTTGATGATCAGACCAGGCTTCGTCATACCTGCATAGAGGGTGAAGCTGTTGCTGTTACTCAGTGTTGGATGCACTTTTTTATTTCCACTCTGAAATACATGTGACATATGTTTTTCAGTGTAAATATTGATGGTTTGAAAAATATGGACTCACAGAGTAAATCATCTCACGTTTCTTGAACCTCTCTTTTGTTCTCCAGTCAACAGTGTTTGATCAATACTGGGAAAATGCATTTTCACTTTTCTCTGCTCTCCATTGTATCTTGTCATCAGTTGTATTCACAATTCCTCCTTCTTCCAGAGGGGATGTATGTATCGCAGAGATGATGAAAACAAAACTTTCTCCGACTCTAAAGCAGATCATACTGCGGTTTGTTTGAATGAGAGGGAATTATCTCATTTTCATATTGTTTGGTTACTATGGTTTCAGGTTATTATTATTAATCTAGACTGGATTAGTGATTGAGGGAAATACACAACTTTCATTCCAATAAAAATCTGTCTGCATGTTTGTCTCTATTTGTAGATGTATGTGTGAATGTGAAGGATGAGCATAGACATGGCCCATTCCTTCCAAAGCAAATAATCGGAATATGAGTCGAATATTAATGCTGTCTGCAGAAGTCTACACTGTCTAGTGTTATTTGAATCATTCAGACTGATTGCGTTTATTTGGTTTATTTATTCGGTCTGCCGGCATACTCTAATCAGAGCTGATAGGAATACTGTTGCTATACACATAGGCTAATAAAAAAGACGATTCACTGGCATGAAGTTTATAAAATGTATAGAATTTTGTTTTTGTTCATATTTTTTTAGTTATTCAAATTTGAGTATTCTATGTTCCTTTGTCCTTATTAGATCAGTTTTGTTTTTGTTCAGTTCTTTTACAGTTTCTCCTTATATCTGTGTCTCAATAGTTTATTTTTCATTAGTGTGAAAATTATTTCCTGCTCCCCTGTTTTCTCCCCTGGTATCTTTTGTTACTTTTTCCTCCTCCCTTGTGTAATCTTCCCTGTACCCTTCCTCCCCCCCTTAAATCTACCTAAATGTTCTCCAACTACTCTCATGTGCAGCCTATTAGCTCATCATTCATCTCTATTGTTCCCACACTCAACCTCCCAATAGTTGGTTTCTGCCGCTAGTTGCCACTTTGTCTTGTTTCTCTTGTCATGTCTACTTGGTCATTTCCTCATCATTATGTAGTTTCCTCATGATTTCTGTATGTCTCCAGTTTGACTTTGTTTTTGCATTTTTCTGTTTCTGTGGACTTTCACATTTTGTAAGTTTTGTTCTTCATTTCTTTGCCTTAAATGATTAGCTTAGCACCACTGGATGACTTTAGACTGCTGCATTTGGGTCGATCATCCTCAACACAAAACATGACACTGACACTTTCTGTGGAACCAGTTAACATTATAGAAGTTAGTGTATTCGATAAAATTCTGAAACTATCAGATCAGATTCAATGGAATTGTTTTTTCTTTTTTGCTCATTCCGTTAAAGGCATTTTTTCCAAGCCATAAACCTTAATCTAGTCATTATGAAAAAGAAATAATACTCACCCTAGGATGAATCCCTGAGGGACTCTCCATTGTAGACTGGATTTGTCAGAATTACAATGCTTAACAGAAGCAGTTTCCTACTGTATTAATGTCAGTGTGCTATCATAGAAGTCATGTAATTGAAACTTTGCCAGATTAGGCCATTGAAAAACTATTTTAAAATCTTTAAAGAGAAGTACTTTATGATCAGCAATGGCTGTGATAACCATCCATACGGAACTGTACTGATGTTCAAATATAACTGACTTTTTTTTTGTCCCTTGGAAGAAAACACTTTGGTTTTAAAACAGAATAAAACTAGTCAAAACATTAATCTTTCACATTTTATTTCCAACCTGCTTTCCTTCCACTCCACCCTTAATTCTTTCTTGGACATCTTTCTTTTTGCTCTGATGTCCAAGTTGGAAATAGCTTCAGGGCTAATAGTGTTGGATAAAACTGTCTTCTTGCTGGTTAACATGGTGTCTCTCCTTAGATTAGACTGTGAGCATGTTTACCCTCTTGGCAGTGGAAGAAGTGTATGTTACTTTATCTTACCAAACCTGTCTTGTGTGCGTCCGTGTGTGTGCATGTGTGTGTGTGAGGTGTTGTAAAGAAGATATTAAAGTCAGTCTTTCCACTCTGTCATCCATTTAGAAAGTACATCAGTCAGTTTGCTGGGTTGCTCTCTCAGGGCATACATATTTAGTGTGAAATTAAGAAGTTTTGGGCCTGTGTTCAATGTTCCATTTATTTTGTTTTAAAAAATGTTTGAAGTAACATCAAGAAATTAATTCTTACCCAATTTAATCACATTTCAGTTTGTTTCGATGGTGGCCACATTAGAGTGGCCACAGTGAAGGTTCACCTCGTGGCCAGAATAAAGTAGTTTCTCTGATCTGTGGCAGTTGTTCAGGTTGGTCGCCCTTGAGCTGGAAGACAAATCCAAAAAATATCTGACATTTTTAGCTCTAATATGCTCATTCATATGTGAATTATAGAGAAAGTTATCATTAAGGAGCACCCACCCATTCACATCCCCCTGCCGCTAGTTCCATCAGACTAGTGACAGCAGCAAGCACCTTGTAACACTGCACATCTTCTGAGCTCCTAAGAACCATTGTAAACAGCATCTCAGAGAAGCATTGCTATGATGAGGTAATGAAGGGTATGTCAGAGCTTTTGAAAGAGACAGATGCCATTTCAAAGGTTTAAAATTTTAAAGTAAAATTTATTTTAAGTTGTTTTAGTAAATATAACATTTTTTAAAACAACTGAAGGTAACATAGTTACTTGATTGTGCTATGAAATGACACTTTGTGCCTGGAAGACACATAGTTCCCCTTTGGGTTCAACATTTGTTCATTTGGTAGATATGGTTTATAAAACATGTTGGATATTGTCCTAAACTCCAGGAGAAAATACATTGACTTGAAGGTACGTCTAAACCACAGAATCATATAAAGTTTTTGTGGACTTCAAAAGAATAAAATTGAGACACAAACTACCCTCTTGGCAGTGGAAGAGGGCATTTGACCTTACCTGGCCCTCTATAGTCACACCTGTTTGCTGGAGTCTGCTGCTGTGCCGACAGACCGGCCTTCTTTCCTCACACTAGTGGTTTTTCTGCTCCTCCTTGTGGGTTTGTGTGCAAGAGTGAGCAATTTCCAGAAGCCATTAATGTCTTTAAATATGTAGAGCTGCTGACACAAAGCTGTATTTATTAGTAAAGAGCCTTGGCTACAATGGATTTGGCCATGGGGCACATATATAGTACTTTACAGTTGATGTGTGAGTCTGTGTGTGTGTGCAGAAGCCTGTTTCTTCAGGAGTTTCTCTGTTGTACCGATGAAACACATGCTGTATTGCTGTCAAAGTGTCATTAAAAAGTAGCAAGTATTTATTGTTCATGTCATCTCCATCACTTTTGGTCTGCTCTCAGCTAGAGGCTCACATTCATCTGGTTTAGACAAATAATCAGGTTCTAATCACATTCAGGCAACATTAACTACAAACAAATGAAATTGTGTATTATTCATGTCCAACTTCAATGAAAATTGAAGAAAAGTGGCATGATAATACTGACTTTTCTTGTTGTGCTGCTATAAATGAAGGGTTTCTCCATGGTAATTTGATGCAGGGCATCTAGAAAGAGAGGCTGTGCCTTTAAGGCTGGGTCCTCGCAGTGTTGAGTTTGTTTTAGCCCAGCCAAAACCTTTAATCATGCTGATTGATGAGGTGCATTTCCCTGACTCAAACCTTCTCCAAATACCTCTTCCATCCCAGCCATACATCAGCCTTTGAGCCAATTCATCAAGTCTTTGATTGTTTTAAGATATACCTGACCAGTAAAATATCCATTTCTCTGCATGGCATGGGTCCTCTTGGTTTGCCCTCTTTACAGTCCTAGCATCACCATAGAAACCATGTGGGGGAGAGAGAATGCAGTTGGAGACTGATGTTTTTAAGAGAATTTTCAGAATTACTTTAAAGTAGTTATTAATGTTTAATGAGAGAAAAACAATACCAAGTAATGAGTCTATGTTTTATGAGGACTTGGTAGAAAGAAATTAAAAACACATTGAGTGAAAATGAATTCCAAAAACATCCTGTTTTTAAAGACCAGCATTGTATGTGACATAAGTCTGATATATAACTGCTAAAGGCAGTTGTGTTGAACCCGGGGGGTTCCCAAGCCCCCCAGAGTGGAGCTTGGGAACACCAACCACACACCAATCTACAGCTGAATTCTACCAAGACTTGAGACTCCCCATGCTTATAATTGCCTTTTGTAACAGTTCAAACACCAAATATGCCTCAATCTGCATTAATATACACAGTGCAGACTGTCATTATGCTACAAAAGAAGCTAACATTCCAGCTGTTTCTTATCTTTGCTGTGCTGCGGCCAAGGGAAAGGTGCTTCTGGATTGGCTGCTTCAGAAACAACATCCACTGGCATGTCCAGCAGCATTGCTCCTATATGTTACCTCACCAAGCTGCATTTTCTCTGAGATGTTTTCTGAGGGATGTTTGCACTATGATGGTT